TAAGCTGTTTAAGGAACTACCTTCAGAAATGGCCAAGCCACTAACCTTACTCTTCCAGGCGTCATTTGCTAGTCGGTACCTATTCTCCAATTAGCTGTCCGTAACCATCACTCCGCTATTCAAGGGTGGAAGTCGAGCGTCTGCGAATAACTAGCGGCAAGCGAGTCTTACCCTCATTTTTTGCTAAATCATGGAGAAAATAATGAAAAAAGCAGTAGCGCAGTTCCTCAAAAAAAATCAACTTCTGTCAAATGCGCAACACGGCTTCCGCCGTGGTAGGTCCTGTCTCCCGAATCTACTCTTCCAACTTGCACGCTAGATCAAAGCACACGATGAAGTGGAATGGTACACGCCATCTGTATTGACTTCAAAGAAGCCTTCCACAGCGCTCCTCACTAATACCTCCTGCATAAGCTGCACAATGCAGGATTTCGCGCGAGCCCCCTTGTATGCACTCAAAACGTTCGGACTGGACGGTCCTAAAGAGTACAAGTCGGGTACAAGCAGTTCTCGCAAATAACTCTAGTGGTCGGCTTCTAACGGAGCCCAGTTCTAGGTTTCAAGGGGTTCCTTGTTTTCATCACTGACTGCGTCAGAGACCTAGAGTGTAATGTCATCCGTTTTGCTAGTGACATGACATTGCGGAACGTTGTTCACAATGTGGCAGACAAAAATCATGTGCAAATAATCTAGAACAGGCTCGATGACTTGTCAAAGCCCCGTCTTATTCCCTTCAATTCTTGCAAGTTTAATCTTCTTCAAAATGGAAACTGTTAAGTCTCCAGCCCCGAGATTTAATTTGTAAGCAGTACACCATTTCAAAAAAGTTGTTAGTCAGAAGGACTTGCTGTGTGGATTACCTCTTCAATCAAACCAACACTGAGCTGCATGAAGGTGGCCAAGTCGACCATGTCTATATTGTCTTGGGGTTTGGTAAATACAGCTTCTCCAAAATATTTGGAAACTACGTGCGGCCGCATCTAGAATAAGCCATGCACGCATAGAGATGTTGGGCTGTTAAGAGATGTACCGTTCTAGGGAAGGTTTGGAAAGGGGCGACATAAACGACCAAGGGTCTGGGAACACTGCCTTATTAGACTGTCAACCCGTTATATATTTCCCCTTTCTTACAGGAAACTACGAGGGGATCGCATCTTAACTGCCCGCATTATTACTGGCCTGGACTGTTGCTTTGTTCCCAGTGATTCTTTTCACGTAGGCTAACACGTCCACTTTTGTGAAATCCCTAATACCACGCACACGTAAGGCAAGGACTGGCGAACACAGTTAAAGCGTAATTGCAGCGTGGAACGCTATGCCAGCGAATGTTATTTTGAATTCATTTAAGTTGAAACTGAACGCACACCCGAAGTATGATAATTTTGTATAATTATGCTACTCGCAATAATTGAGTAGATGTTTATATGTATTCTTAGGACGACCCGGCAACAGCTTACTTTTTGCATGCAAGCTTAGTGGGGGAAATATGGATAAATATCTTTGAAATTCCTATTGGCACAATGCAGCTGTAAAATGCAGAACACTTCAAAAGAGTGTTGATGCCAGTAAACAGACTCTTTTTTTCTTATCTATCGATACTTTTTCGTAGACAATCTGTAATGAATAAAGAATTCAAAGGCGTTGGCCTATCTTTCCCTTAATAAAACCGAATTGGAATTTCAAAAATATGTTGCCGACAAAACCCCGATATCTAAAAGACAGGGTCTCTTTCTCTATTTCCACTAATGATTTTAAGACTGCCTCACTCCAGTCCACTCTTACTATCTGTGCGCTTCGGATGTCCTGTACTGGTCGGGGTGTCAGTTTTAATTTAGTTTCCTTATGCATGCGATTTTATCCCCATTTATCAAATCAAGAAAAAGGCTCTTCCCATCCCAACCCGTATTGCAGATTTGCCTACGAGAAGTGGAACATTCTTCTGTTGGCCCTCTACTGCACTGATCCCTCAAGTCCGAAGATCATTCTTCATCCGGCCAGTCATCCAAAACTCACCATCGACATTACAACAATGAAGGCAATTGCAATTGCAACCAATTCCAGCGTTGTCAGCAAGTGAGTTGATTTTATAGCCCCCCTCCCAGTAGGAAGTAGATAAACATCTGTCGAATCCCTCTGCTAGGCTGCAAGATCATGCTTTAACCGCACACACCGAGGTCGTCCCGTCAGCTATGAGGAGCAAGGGATTCTTTACATGGGGCAGGTTGCCGTGAGATGACTGTTTGCCTGTGTGTTTTCCATAAACGTCCCTTCGGTAGCGTGTGAGCAGCTTTGTGTTGTTTACGCTCTGGTGTATTTCTGTGTCAGTACGGAGATGTGAGTGTCTGTGTGCTGGGCGCGTGATTGGTTGAATCAAGGACTGCGTTCAACGCGTATGAGCAAAAGGTCACCTAGGCACCAAAGCACGCCGGCTGACGCACGTAGGATAGCCCCAAGTGCAAGCGAGACTGTGACTAAGCGCAACCCAGGCTGTCGTGCTTTTAAAATGCGCCTGCAGCTTAGTAAGCTTGTCGTGGCCGAAGAGGACACTGGAGCGGCTGCTACGGACTTCTTAGGTGAAGGTCAGATTTGTGGTCCCACGGAGGAAAAGAGAGACAAGAGCGCCTGTCATGTGGGAATACAGTTAAGTGTTAGGAGCCGCCCCAACAGACACGCGGGCAGGCAGCCAGCAGACAGGCAGCGAGTCGCGCTCATACTAGGCTATCGATCAGCCTCAACGCTTTAAAATTTAAAGCTGCGACCAGCCTAGGACCCTGAAAAGCCAGCCGCTGAGTCACAAAACAATCATGTCGCTTCTCGTTCCAGGACAGTATCTGATTTGTCCGATGGACATGTTTGTACACGTGTATGTTTACTTAAAATATGTTTTACTAACTTCGCTAAAAGATTTCTACTTTTGCGCTCTTCCTCGAGGACTCACACAAGGGGTGAGCAGACAGTGATATCTCGACTTGCTCAACATTTAAAACAAATAGGAGTGTATGTGCGACGTAATCGAAACTGGCAGCTATTTGGTCATAGGAAGCAAAAGTTAAATAATTTCCTTCACGTTCTTAGGTTCTTTAAATTCAGCAATTTAAAATACTGGGAAACTAAGCAACGGAGGGGCAAATGAAAACTAAAAGCTATGAGATAGATATTCGGGGCAAACTTTTCTCAACTGGTTGTGATCAAGTATACTGAAGGAGAAAGTATGAAAAGCATAAATGTAAATCCGACTTTCGTGGTTGCCGCGACTTTAGATAGGATTGAAGTTGATAACTTAAATAGGGTTATCATTAATTCCTAACCCCCAGCCTAATCCCAGTCCTTGCCGCTAACCATGATCACTAACCCCAAACCTGCTCTCTTACTCCCTATTCTTACATCAGTACCTAATCATAATCGATAACTTGTTGACTCTAACTCTAGCGTTTATGAATAATGATAAGTCTTTAAGGGGGCGTTACGGAGACTCAGCGAAGGCGAGGGGTTAAATTAAACCAATTTAAATTATACAAGTAGATACTATATAGAGGTAAATGCTATGGCGGGCCACATAGTCGATCGTCACTCATCCACACACCCCTTTTTTAAATGTACCTCAACGGTTTTTTACTCTACGGCTAAAATGCATCACGGCTGTATCTTACGGACAGTCGTTATCTTCTCTATCCGGATTGACTGAACACAACCTGGATCCACGGAAATATTGCTTACTTAAATGCCATACCTTACACCATCAGGCAAACTGCCTGCGAAGGATTTGTCTGAATATCCCTGAGCGCACTTAACGGTTCTTTACCGAGAACTGTGTCCACCCACCCCAGTGGGGGAACGAAGAGGGAAGTTAAGTTCTGGAATTATATTGTTTTTCCTTGAACTATCAGAAGACTTTTGGTGACAGCAACCAAAAGTAAAATTGACTTCGTAACTGCCGTTCACAGGCCTTGAGACAATACCTGAAGTTTGTATTCATAATAATAGTGCTAACTAATCTTAGTTTTACCTATATTGAAAACTAGGCCAATCGGTTAACTGGCCCAAAATATGTAAAGGGTTTGTTTTAGGATGAAATCTTCCATAAAGACGGCTTGTTGGTAACTATTACCATGCCTAGCGGCGGAGTATTGTTCAATTTCGAAAAATAAGAAATATATCTTTGCGTTTCCAGTCCTCAGAAAAATGTCTTCCATCTAACCAATAAAAGAAACTGAGAGTGGATTATTCACCGTTGTCCCAGAAACTGTGTTTCATAGGTATCGCCCTATGAAAACCCCTGACATACTAGAAAACGCAAATTAGTTCCTGAAACCTGAACATGAAAAGCTGGATAATCAGCCAGA